AATCACAGTCGATTATTCTTCTCATATTCAACTGTGACTGGTCAATTTCTTAAGCCTTGTGTCCACGATACTAGAAATCGGTCTAAGTTCCTGGACCGAGAACTGTGTAGCCAATCAACTTGCAGCTTTTACGGAAAAGTAGTAATTTTATTGGCTATACAGATCTCGACCCGAGAACTTTGATCAATTTCTAGTATCGTGGACACAATCCTTTACGGCTTACGACTTACTACTTTCATTGTAGATGGACCTTAATAGTATCTCGTCGGTAGTACAGTAGAAAATTTTTATGTATCGCATCGATCAATGCGAGTGAATCTATATATACAATCTGGACAAATTGAACCGTTCGACCAATACGACCGGTCGATTCTCTTTTTGTCCGCAATCTCGGCGATTTCTACGATCGATGGCGGCGACGTGCGGAGATAACGGATTCTTCGATTGCCAGCCCTGGAATCCCGCCTGGGGGAAGTTCGCGTTTAACGATCGCCGCCGTTGGCAGCGCGGGATTCGACGGTGCCCCGTTCGTTTGAAAGAGAGTACGTGCGTTGCGAGCGAATCGCGTGATGAGCCGCGGCGGAGTGCGCGAGTGAGCGAGAAACGAGGAACCTGCGGCCGATCGAGTGGTGCGACGAAAGCGAGGCGCGACTCCGGTCGAGCCAGTCCAGCCGGCAGCATGTTCCGCACGAAGAAGGACGTCGACCGCCACGTGCAGAACGTCTTCTGCAAGCTGCGGAACGAGAACGAGGTGAGGTTACCGTTCGCGCAGACACACACGAGAACGTTCCATCTCACTCTCTCCTTCTTCCGGCATTCGCGGCTAACGGCCGGAACGCCGACGTCCTCCCGTCCCGTCTCCACTACTCGCAAACTGCAACCGATATCGATAATCCCGATAATCGGCCCGGGGCGCTTTTCCGGGTGTCCCGGACGACGATCGGCTCGGCCGGCCGAACGCAACCGCCGAACGAAAACCTTTGAGTCATTGTGCCAGGCGAGTGCGCGACGTATCGGTGATGGCGAATTTTCGCGGGAAACCGTCCTCGCGTTACCGATACTTCGACAGAGATGTTTTTCAGAATATATTTGTCATATGATTTTTCAGAGTTCACATAGATTTCAAAACTTTTCAGAATAATTTTTGTATGATTTTTCTTTGACTTAAGAAAATTTCTCAGATTTTTTTTCTACACGAATTGCAGCACGTGTTTGAAATGCTGAGACATGCTTATGCCGCTTATATGCCTTGTACCCAATATTTACTTTATATTTGGATTTGGATTATGTAACTAAAACTGATGACATATTTGATTTTTTTTTTTGCAGAAAAATCTTCGTTGTTACAATGTTGCCAAATTGTATTATCAAGTTGGTGATTATGAATCCACAAAAAGATATGTATTTAATTACTTAGAGGTACGAGATAATTCTGCCAGTGCCCATAAGTTGTTGGGTCAGGCGTACGAGGCTCTCGGTCAGAAGGAAGCAGCTTTCAATGAGTACAAAGTTTCCCTCGAACTCGAGGGGAGGCAAGATGATCTGGTCTTGAAAGGTAAGTCGGCGTTTTTGTGTTTTACCTTTTACCATCTATTGCCAATGTAAATAACAAAATATAAATTAAATTAAATTAATTTTAGTCTTGGTTCAACGTTTACTTATTATCCAAAGAGTAAATTAAATTGAGATTAAAGTTAATCTGCATACAGAAATGGGCATTATTGTCCTTTGAACATTTTTATATCAGTCAGTAACATTAAAATTTTTTTCTTTGTGGCTTTCTTTTCTAGTATGTGAATTATTGGTTGACATGGACATAGGAATGGATGTTAATAAACTGAAGTATTGGGTAGAGAGAGCTGACAAACTGTTTCCACATCACCCGATAGTTTTTCAATTGAAAGAAAAACTCTTGACTATAGAGAAGCCAAACAACAGCAGCGAGGATCTTGAGGCACTAATCGCATGTAAGTAATTATTAATTTTGACGACGAGAATGATTAAAGAATACAAGTGAATTTATAATGTGTGAAATTTTCCAGCTGAATTGGCCGCGAGACCGGCTGACGTGCAACTTCGCATTAAATTGTTAAATTATTATATGTCGGAGCGTAAATTGGATAAAGCTTATGAACATGCCGTCAGCGTGGAGGCCACTGTCCCTCACAGGGACAGCATTGTGTGGTATCAGCTGCTGTACGAATTACTGACAAAATATAAGGAGACCAAATCCCACGACTGGTCGTTCTGGGTGTTCTATATATCTGTATCCGATAAATATGCGGGATTATGTCTCAAGGAGCAAGGCGGCGAAACAAAGAAAAGCATTCCAGAGGCAGCTCAGGCAGTATTCAAGTAAGTATATCGACACGTCTCTACAAGCTGTATTTTCTAACTCGACAATCGGTAAAAAAAATTGATAAAGTTCGAATGTCATCTGAGTATTGTATCTGCACGATACTCTACATATTTTAGAAGTGAAATAATTGCGATCGGTCGTTTTGCATGCACTTATTTCTACAATATATTCATCAAGCGAAACGTCATTCGTTGCTCTAGCTTTGACCAAAACCTGAACGAGATGAAGTCAAAAAACTTTTCTAAGCAACACACCTTCACGGAGCACTTGTTCACGCACATGTGGGGCCAGTTGCACTTCCACCTGGCGTGTTTGCTGTTGCGCAAAACGAAACGCGAGCAGGGCAGTTGGAACGAAGCGGGAAGGCTGTGCTCGCCTCTGTTATTGACCGCGTTACACGTGGCTCCGTTAGAGAGCCGTTTGCGCATACAGCTAGAGGACGAATTTAAGAATCAATTCAACATATGGGCCATGGAGGCGGCATATCGATGTTGCCAAGCTGGTACGCGAGATGGATTATTTTGTAGGAATTTAGGAATTGTCATTAAATATCTTTACTAACGATTCTAATTTTTCACTCTTTATCAGGCTACATTCTTCAAAACTATGCCAGAGATGACACGAAAAAACTGATAGATAGAATTGATAAATTTTGCACGGGACCCTGGAGAGAGCGTATTTATCAGGTACAAATCGAGCTTTTTTCATGCAGATTCTGATAATTAAATGCTATCCCGATACATTCAACGTGCATTTTCTTTTGCAGAGAATTTTTGTAACCAGGATACACCTTGATCATATGCGAAATTCATTTTTTTGCCACCATCATTCAGCTCCTGATCCACCTTTACGCATGTGCACCGCAAATCAGCTAAGGACCTACAGCCAAAGTACGTTTATTAATCTCTCTCTACTTTCTGGATTATTAGAATAAGGATAAAGCGTTTCGTTTATTTTGCAATCCATTAATTTGCACAAATATTATGTTACATTTATTTGTATTATTAGATAAATTATTAATATTTAATAATAGTAACGATAATAATAAAGTTACACTTAGCTTGAATTTGCAATAACTGCAACAATCTCCGGAATAAATATACCGTCAGTGGAAAACAATGTAACGAGAAAGACAATAGGCATTAAAAAATTTTTGTTTACAGTCGCACAAGAGGTGTGGCCTGCCTCATTGCACCATCAAATCTGGCTTGGATTGGAGAATCGGCCACAGCACAAAGACGCTCCGCATCCGGATCAGACCTCGCGCGTGTTTCCAGCATTGCAGTTTTCGGTGTTCAATACGAATCAGGCGGCACCCGACAGCCTGTGTCTCATCGATATCGACGCGTTTCTCAACGCGGCGATACTCTGCTCGTCCGCCATTCTGGAGGAACAGCAACTCGGTAGCTTCGTGAACCCGGAGAAACTGCCGACGTTGCCGATCGATCTTACCGCGACGCTGTCCACCAGTAATCAGGAGAAATGGTGGTCGGCGGCGTACAAGATGTACTCCAAACGGGAGGACGTGGACGGCGACATCGGCGAGTTACGGCAGGAATTGCAACAGGGTTTGGAAATCATTCGCTGCATCGGCAATCACGGCATGCATCCGGTGTTGTTGGTGCATCTGGCGCGCATGTTTCATCATCGCGCGAAGACGACGAAGGAGAAGGATGAGGCGAATGGTTTCATCCCCAAGTGGGAGGCGCGCTCCGAGCTGTACTGGACCGCCGCTCTACCGCTGCTGGAGAGGCTGCAGAACAATCAAACGTTACGTATGTCTCCGTCGAAGTTGTTCAATTATCAGGGCAAGGAGATGAACAACTTCGAGCTGACGAACGCCCTCGAGGAGGGCAAGTTGCTGTTGGCTCAGCGGCTCGTGCGCGAAAAGCAGTACGAGCAGGCGATCGACGCGCTGCAAGCGCTCAAGTGCCCGGAGGCGTCGTTCCAGCTGGCGCAGATCTACAAGATCTTCGCGGACGAGATAGTGGACTCCACGCCGCGCGAGAGTCTAACCTCGGAGATGCGATCGCAGCACATCATAATGCTGTCGAAGGCGAGAAATTGCTTTTACCTTACTCTCGACCGACTCCGCAGCCCGGGCACGAATCCCAAGCATCCATTGAACTCCGAGCTCGGCACTCACATCACCGACATCGAGAATGAATTGAAGAGGATAGATCCGGATTTGGGTAGAGGCGATTTAAGTAGGAATAATGACATCGACGGTATATCCGATGAGAGTTACTCGCCCACTCACAGCGCCGTGGATCAGGCGGTCACGAATCCGACATTGCCCATGCTGACGACGCTGACCGGCGGCGGTTCGAACATGCTGAGTACGCCACAGAGGAACGCTCATCGCACGCCGAAACACGCCAGCACGCCGTGCAGATTGCAGGATTATTTCAATCTGTCGAAACACCGCACGGAGGCACGCCCGAGTCCGGAGCGCCTCGACGCTCAGATACGTCAGATTGTGCAGTCCCGAGACAACGAGATACAGGAAATAACGGAGCAGATGAAGAACGTGATGATGCAGATGAAGATTTTGAACGATAAAGTGGACACTCTGACGAAAGAAGTGGTGGAGTCGCGTAAGGAGAATCAAAAGTTCCAACAGCAACAACAACAGCAGCAGCAGCAGCAGCAGCGTGTTCAGCAGCAACAGAGCGTAAATCCCGCTGTCGATCCCGAAGACTTCTACGTTCTCGACGATGACGAGTACGCCGATTTGAGCTATCAGAATCAACCAGCCGGGCCGGCATCCTCGATTTCCGGTAACATATTCACACCGCAGCATGCTCGGCACCCTTATTCGTCGCTGATGTACCCTTCGGCGGCGACCGCGGCGTTCCAGTATTATCAGGGAGGATTACCGTTCACCGATCCGAACGCTCAAGCGGCTATATCGTCCCTGTATCCTCACACCGTCTACCCGATGCCAATGCTGTATCCCAATCAGAAAGTACCCGACAATCTGCAACAGAGCCTCTTCGCATCGACGCTCTCCTCGCAATTGCCCGATCTCATGCCGGCAGCCGCGGCGAACACGTCATTGCAAATGTCGCTGAAGCAGAAGATAGAAACGCCATCGCGAACCAAATCCGAGGCGACATCAGGGACGGTGACAACCACGACGACGGCGACGACGACGACGATTATCAAAGATGCGCCGGTGAACAAAGCGCCTCCTGTGAACGTGGTCATCACGACATCCGACACGCTACCGACCACGGTGCCGTCCACCCAACCGACTCTGAGCGTCACCATACCGCCGCAGTATCGGCTGGGAGGTGGAGCAGCTGCCACCTTCTCCACTACGCCCACAACGACGACGACAATGACGACAACGAAATCGTCTTCTTCCAGTGTGCCGCATTGCTATCAGATTCCCATGCCCCTGCAGGCCACCATACCAACCACCGTCAACTTACCGCCAACCTCAGCCTACGTCCACGCGGCCAACATCAATGTGCCGATCTACAGCAATCTGACAACGTCACCGTCCATCACGATGACTCACACGACTGCTTCGCTAAGCGTCCAGAGTAATACCGCTGGCAGTAAGATACACGATAATTCCTACGGGTCGGTGAACTCGCCGAACACGTCTGCGGAGGTGTGCGAACAGGAGCACGACCCGATACCGAACTTCGTGCCAGTCGTACCGTTGCCCGCGAAGGTGAAGATCACCACCGGCGAGGAGAACGAGGACACGCTGTATTGTGGCCGGGCTAAGCTGTTCCGCTTCGTCGATAAGGAGTGGAAGGAGCGCGGCGTCGGTGACGTGAAGCTGCTGCGCAACGCGGAGAGCAAGGTGCGCCTGCTGATGCGTCGCGATCAGATCCTGAAGATCTGCGCGAATCACATGCTGAGGCCCGACATGGAGCTGAGTCCCATGACGAACAACAACAAGGCGTGGTTCTGGGTCGCCAACGACTTCGCCGACGAGGAGGTGAAGCTGGAGAAGCTGTGCATCAGATTCAAAACCGCGGAGGAGGCGATGGCGTTCAAGGAGGCCTTCGATCAGGCTAGACTCAACTTACCCGTGACGCCGGGAAAAGCGACCAAGACGTGCGAAAAAGTCTCCACCAGCGACAAAGACTCGTCCAAGACAAGTCAGGCTAAGACAAGTTCAACGACGGAAGCGGCTTCCTCGGACAAATTGAAATTTAGCACGACGACATTAGGGGGATTCTCCTTCAGCTCTAAACCTATCATTCAGGAGGTCAGCGACGCGGAAACGGGTGACTCCAAGAAGGTCGAAGAACCGCCAAAAGTCAGTCCGTTTAGTGGATTTTCGTTCACCAAGTCAACCAATAAACCCGAGACGAAAGTCACGACCACCGGCGCAACGAGTGTCTCGACGTCGTCTGCGAGCTTCGTCTTCGCCACGACTCCGACAACAAACTCGTCTGTTCTAACGACCTCCAACGCCTCGCCGATATTTTCCTCGCCCGCGACAACCGGCCAGAATTCGACACTGAGGAGACCTCGTTTGCCGCCACCCGGCGCCACCAAACAGGGATCGTCCAGCGAAGAGACGCGACCGCAGTCTGAAAATGAGCAGAAGTTGTTCGTCGGAACGGCGAGCCTTCAGTGTCAATGTATGAACGGTGCCAGTGCCATGCAGTGGAAGAGCAAGGGCACAGGACCGTTGATGCTATTGTTAAACATGAAATCCGGCAAGCTTCGCCTGCTACTGACGGACGACGAAAGCTCCAGGATCTACAGCCACGGGATTCCGTTGGATATGGCGTTTACGTACAAGAGTGGTACTACAGTTGTCAATTGGACCGTTCCGGCAAATGCCAAAGAACCCGGTAAGACCTGGTCGTCGCACGCCGCGACGTTCAGCACGCCGGAACTGGCCTCGCAGTTCTACAACGTCGTGTCGAGCTGTCAGCAGAAGCTAGCCAAAGGCGGCAGCCCGAGCGAGGTCGCAAAAGCGCTCGAGAGGAAGACTCAGGCGTCATCGGGGGAAAGCGCTACGGAAGCGAAACCGCTGTTGTGGGAATTATTTAAACCACCGACCGATTCCTGGGAGTGCAACAGTTGTTACATCAGAAATAATGCCACGGATATGAAATGCGTGGCCTGCGAGGCTCCGTCGCCTTCGGCGGCGAGCAGCAAGAGCGGCCCCGCGGTCGCTGGTAAGCCCGTTGAGTTTGGCAAACTACCGTTATCAGAGCTGTTTAAACCGCCGACCGGTTCCTGGGAGTGCGGTGGTTGCTACACCAGAAACAATGCCACGGATATGAAATGCGTGGCCTGCGAGGCCCCGTCGCCTTCGGCAGCGAGCAGCAAGAGCGGCCCCGCGGTCGCTGATAAACCCCTCCTTCAATCTGGTAAACCACCGTTATCGGAGCTGTTCAAGTCGCCCGCCGGCTCCTGGAGCTGTACAGGTTGCTACATCGTCAATTCCGGGGCGAACGTCTACTGCGTGGCCTGCGACAATCCCAAGGACCCGTCACAGCCGCCCAAGCCGCAGCAGGCCAGCGTCTTCCTGCTGAACACGTCCGCTTCCGGCGCGACGCCCATGACCACGTTCTCTTTCGGCATTCCCAAGGACACCACCAAGGAAACGACTGCTGCCACCGGTTTCAGCTTCCGGATGCAGGGGATCCTGGGGGACAAGGGCACGGACGCGGAGAGCGCGAAGGTGACGCCATCCAAACCCGAGGAGACCAACACAGGCACCAACTTCGTGTTCGGTATGCCGGTGAAAAGCAACACCGCGTTATTAAGCACGGGTGACTCGCCGTTCACCTTCGGCTCGCCCGCCAAGTCCTTCGGCTTTAACTTCACCGCCAAGTCACCGGCCAAGTCGCCCGGTGGCGGCGGCGAGACCAGCGAGGACGAGGTGGTGGAGAGCGAGGACATTCACTTCTCGCCGATCATACCGCTGCCGGACAAGATCGAGGTGAAGACCGGCGAGGAGGACGAAGAGGTGCTCTACAGCCATCGCGCGAAGCTATTCAGGTTCGACACCGCGGCGAAGGAGTGGAAGGAGCGTGGACTGGGCGATATCAAACTGTTGTGTCACAAGGAGACCGGCAAGCTGCGGCTGATCATGCGCCGGGATCACGTGCTGAAGTTATGCCTGAATCACGTACTGTCCAGCGACTTGGAATTCACGCCGAAGGACGAGAAAACGTGGCTGTGGACCACTGCGGATTACAGCGAGGGCGAGATCGAGTACATGCAGTTCGCATGTCGCTTCAAAACTTCCGAGATTGCGGCAGACTTCAAGCGAGCGATCGACGACGCCAGGAGGAACGTTAAACCGTCGGCCGCCACTGTCAGCAGCGAGAAGACGGATAAATCCGCGACGAGGACGACCGCCTCGTCGAACAAGGAGCTCGAGATCGTCTACGAGACGAGGGTTACTCCGGAGGAGAAGGCGGCAGCCTTGAAGTTGCAGCTACCGGCAAACTTCTACTCTTACAAGCAAAAGGAAGACTGTCCTGGCTGTAGAGGCTGCAGGAAACCGGGCATAGTGCTGTACCCGGACGTCACCGGGCAAGACACAACGAAGTGGAAGCCCGAGTTGGACAGGAAGAAGACGATAGCGCAATCGTCGTCGAAGGACACGAGCTCGCGCACGAGTTCGTCGAGTGGTACTGTTGAGAGTACCGGCGAAACTACTCAGAGCGCAACGCAATCCCCGTCAGTCAAGAATGGATTCTCTTTCGCGACGTCCACGACTGCGACGTTCAAGCCTTCGGCTACTCCCAACTTCGACAGCTCCACAATGAGCTTCGGCACCGGCGATCTGAAGCTGTTCAACGACAAGAAAACTACGACTTTTTCGTTTGGCATGAACCCTCAGTTCGGCACCAACGAAACGGCGGAGAAGACGGCGACGAATGCCGCGCTCGAAAATCTCAAGATCTGTAGTCCCACCGATGCTCAAACGACACAGACGACCGCTTTCAACGCGACCAACACGGCTGCACCGATATTCGGCCAGGTGACATCGACGACCGTATTCAAACAGCCTGCCTTCACCTTCGATTCTGAGAAGAACCTCTTCGGCGGCGCCTCGTCGAAAGCACCGCTCTTCAGCGAGGGCGGCGGTGACGGTACCGTTTCCTCTACCAACGCCACCACCACGGCGACCACGGTCGCCACATCGACGGTCACGTCCAGTCAGTCGTCCAACTCGGTGTTCGGCTCGACGCCCTTCTCCAAGATGACGTTCAGCGGCAACAGCGCTTCTTCGCCGTTCGCCGGAACGACCGCAACGACGACGAACTTCTTCGGTGGGACGGTGGCGCCAACGACGACGAACATCTTCGGTGGGACGGTGGCGCCGGCGACGACGAACATCTTCGGCGGGGCGACGGCGGCGACAACGACGACGAACATCTTCGGCGGGGCGACGGCGGCGACAACGACGACGAACATCTTCGGCGGGACGACCGCTGCGACGACGACGGCCAACATCTTCGGCAAGACGACGACGGCACCGACGACGTCGAGCATCTTCGGCGGGACGGCGGCACCGGCAACGACGAGCATCTTCGGCAGTGCGACAGCACCCACCGCCGCGGCGACAAACGTCTTTGGCACGGCGACGACGACGAATGTTTTCGGACCGACGACTATCTTCGACTCGAAACCGTTGGATAACGTGCAGAAGAACGAGGATAGTCCGAATTTCTTGTCGACGAATGACATGTCGTTCTCAGCGCTCGCTGCGAAGGCGGTGCAACCGGAGGCCTTCAAAGTCGGTACGTTGTGAAATGAGAAGCAACGAGAAGCTGTTACTGTTCCAAGCAAAATTGAGCGGATAGAATGTCTGAAATTATTTAGCGTTTACTGCCAGGAAAAGCCTAGGAAACTTGGAATTTTTAAGGGATTTTTTTATATTAAATTTTTTCAAAAGGGACTTTCATGAATTTTTTCGATTCCTCAGGGAAATTTTTAGAATTTTACTTTTACAATTTAAATTTTTTCTCTCTTTGCGAAAACATTTTCCAACGATGGCTTGTCGTTTATCTTGTTAAAAGCATCGACTTTCAGCAATGTTCATTCCTAATTGCGCAAACATCTTTTCAGTAGCTTTAATCGATACTTCTTTCAGATCCCAACTTTTCGTTCGCTGGTGCGGGATCATCGGTGTTCGGCTCGAAATCCAATACATCACTGAATAGCTCGGCATCGGTTAAAAACAAATCGCACGAAGATTCCGTGCAAAAGGAGGACAATGAAGAGGACGACGGCGAAGTGGAGAACGAGCAGGATCACGATCCTCACTTTGAACCTATTGTACCTTTACCGGATGCCATCGAAGTCCGAACTGGCGAAGAAGAGGAGGAGAAAGGTAACCTTGGATGTTTTCACTTATCATTTTGAATTAGAATCTTTCAGTTTCATACGAGAAAACTTATTTGCGGACTTTTTTGTATCAGCGTAATTAATGTCAAATCGTTTATTAATATTAAATTAATTAATTTAAACAAATTAATATTAACTTATTTAAGTTAACCTTTGTTTAATGTCAAATTAATGTTAATTTAATATTAAATCCAATGAATCATTATCGAGCAAGAACTTGCAATAATTCTAAAAAAAAACTGTTTAGCTTAAATTAAATACAAATATTGATAAGATATTTAATTTATTCGTTATTTAAGAAAAGACTGCAGTATCGCCATTCACTTTTAAGGCTATTCGAGCTTTTTCTTTTCTAAGCTCTGATTTTTTTTTTTTTTTTCACTCGTTTACAGTGTTCTGCCAGAGAGCCAAGTTGTACAGATACGACGCTACTACGAAGGAATGGAAGGAGCGCGGCGTCGGCGAGATGAAGATACTGCATCATGTGGGCCACGGCAGCTACCGACTACTCTTACGCCGGGAACAAGTGCACAAGGTCGTCTGCAACTTCCTGATCACCCCCAACGTGGAATTTTATCCGATGTCCACGTCGGAACAGGCCTGGATGTGGGCCGGCATGAACTACGCCGAGCAGGAGCCGTGCGCAGAACAGCTGGCGATTAGATTTAAATCGCCCGATCTGGCCCGGCAGTTCAAGGCGCATATCAATAATATTCAGCAAAAATTGCGCGAGAGGAGAACTACTGAAGGTAGTGATTGATTCGAGATTATCGAGGTTGCAAACGCTTCTACGAATCGTTCGCCGATTCCACTCGTTGCTGTTGCACGGCGCTAAAGCTTTTTTTTTTTACATGTACACGGATGTTCAATTAATTAATGTTCGCACGTTACGTTTATTATTTAAATTTAAGATATATGTAACTTGAGGCCACTTATCTACTGTATAAAACGGAATAATATTAACCGTGAAAATGTATAACATTCCCGAAATTGAACGAAATAATGCTATTTAACATTTTATGGATTTTATAACGCTGATCAATTTTGTATTGTAGAATTCCTCTTGTGTTACTGAACGACCGCAATCATTTATTTTATCTGAAATTCCACACTGTACGTTATATTAATCGCAATAAATTATTATGCATCTTGCACATGCGTCTGCTCTTTTAAATTATACTCGAGAAAAACATAGCTGTCATTTATGTCTCACGATACTTGTAAAACTTGCTGAAAGTGTTTCCATAAATACGATCACATGTTTTTCAACGAGACGTATGTATTACACACTTTAATTAAATTCACGCGTATGCTGTAATCTAATTCGATTATATATATATAGCCTTCACATCAATTTACATTTTGATAGGTGAAAGATGCATCGGCGAAGTGGAGGACAGCGAAGAACATGATCGAGGCGTGGATGAGGAGGAAGAGGAGGAAGAGGAGGGTGACGAGGAAGAGGAAGATGAGGAGGACGATCAGGAGATGCTTCCTATAATCGAGAAACGTGCCACCGTGTTCGCGAGATGGCCTAACGACAACAAGTGGGAGAGCGTGGGCTTGGGGAACCTGGCGATCCATTACGACTCCGAGATCTACGCCGAGAGAATCGTCTTGAAGCTCGACGACTCGGACGAGTACGCGAGCAACACCATCATCAGCATGGATTCGGTGATGCGGGTAATAATTGTATTCACATACACGAGATACGCTGCGAATTCGTTTTTCTTCTGCTAATCTCGATAACACGAATTAAGCTCCCTTTTCCTTTACGACTAAACTTGAAATTATATTTATGTTGAAAGTATATGATTTATAAGTAATATTTGCAGAAGAAAGACGAGATAGTTCCTAAGCTATTATTTTCTGCAGTTGAGTGTATTATCTCAAATGTTGAATGTACCGTATATGATTAACACTTCAAAGATCTACGTGCATCTTTGCCAATGTTAATATCTTTATTCCCTATTCTTGTATTGTCGCAAAGGTGGAAGGCAAAGAGTGTATTTGGAGCGGGATCGATTACGCCTTGGACCATCCACAGAGGAGAGTTCTGAGGGCAGTCTTCTCGTCAGTGCAAGCGGCGCAACAGATGCATACATTTTTCGAGGATGTAAGTAAAGCTCGACCGAGTGATACATTAAAAAAAAATTGTGTCACGCGTGTGTATACTCAGCGCTCGAGAAAACGTGTGAAATATACAAGACCGAGATGTTTCTTCGCAGGGAGTGGACAGCGCGAAGCAGGCCGGCGTCGTCGAGTATCACGAAGCAGAGTGAAGATCTTTAGCTAATAAGTAGCTGCTAATTGGCTGTTAATAATTCATTATCTTCCTACGTTAGCGTAAAAATGTTAAAACGGGTTGTTTCTTGTCGCTCTACTCAAGTTGTTAAGACTAAGAGAAAAATCTAGATTTTTACATATTTAGCTTCCCTTTTGTTTCTCTCTTTTGTTTTTAGGCTCAAGACACGCGAAGTTTGACAAGTACAATTATCTGTAATAGGCACGCGAACACAAAAGTGCAAGTTCCCGTAGTAATAATTTATGTGCTGCGAGAAAATACTTATTTATAACTGCACAAAGTGGAGAAAAGTAGAGGATCAAACATCACGATGTTTATTTCGTTCGTTTATTTTTATACTAGTCTTAAGAATGGTTCCCTCTTTTTTTTTTTTAATAAAATATGTGCCAAAACTGAAAATCGCTTTCTACTTCGCAACGAAAGCATTTCCACGTAGCTACCAATAATCATTTTTTTTTTTATTCAGTTTTTAAATATCCATTTCGAAACTGTATTTTCAAGTGAACATTTGCAAAAACCTTGATAAACCTTGATAAAAATCACACGCTCACAACGAGCAATGAGATAATAGCACAAATACAATGTTTTCAATGCTGATAATTTTCTACCAATTAGTGTTACGTTAAAAAAGAAGATTACGTCGAGATTACATTTGATTAGATTGCAAAGAGTTGTTGCAGCACCAAAATTAACGGCTACTGTAAATATGATCCATGTGATCTTGTAGTTACATTCTGATAAAGTGTGTATGTGTATAACGTACTGTATCCCTTGGACTAAAATAGAAATTGTCGCATGAGACAATATGTATTATATAGATCACCGATATGACACATTGTAACGTATAACGTAAAAGTATTAAACATTTGATCAAAATATTGCTTTTAGAACCTATTTTCTCAGGTAAGTGATGTTTCCCACATATTAATCCTGCAAAAGCATCCGAGCATGCACACACCATATACACACCATACATACACACACACACATACACAACGAACATTAACGAAATGGATTTATTGTAAGACTCGAATACAAATCAAATCTCTGTATCTACGAATTAAAGGTGAATAAATTAAAGACTCACAGTTGTAACAAAACTGTATGTAATGGTTCCTTGTAGCGAAATATATACATTCTGATAATGAAACTAACACGTTCTGATGAAGACAGAATTCTTTGAATTCTTCAGATTTAATTTTTCAATATTTCTATATAAATTTCAGAATTTCTGTATAATTTTTTAATTTTTTAGAAAATTTCAGATTTTTTAAACGAATTGGAATTTTTCAAAATATATAGACTGAGAGTTTACAAATTTTTTTTTAATTCTTTATGTATGTGAAATCTGAAGTACATTTTATGACTTTATGAATTATATTTTGAGACTTCTCTCATTCTATATTTTTCAAAAAGACTTATAAAATTTATATCTGAAGAAGTTTAAGATATTTTTACACAAATTTTAATTTTAAAATATAAAAAATATAAGATAACATGAGAATTTTTTCACTAAGGCGACCAAATAAAATTTATAATATTCTGAGGGATACAAATGGCATGATTGTGGAATCCGGTCCAGATTGATATTTTCTTTTCGCTATTTAAAGAAAATGTCGAAATTGATTGTCGCGCGAAGTCGGATGACTAGACATATATAACAGAAGAACGACCTTTGAAATGTTCTGTATATTATGTTGTCAACACGAATGTCTAAAGATCGTTATGACGTCTTTATGACGTCCTTTAGACTATAACTTGCGTTATTTTAGCTAATTATACTTTAGTGACAAATAAAAAATAATTATGAAAATATTTTAACTCAACAAAATAAACAATTAAGATGACCGAGTTATCATTCCGAATAGACGAGATGATAATACCTGATGTAAAAGGAAAAAATTACAAATAATACACTATAAATTTACATCAAATTTTTCGTATAAAAATAGAGCTATTTCTCTATCACGCGACCGCATCGTAATTTATTGGATAAGGGCATGCGTCGCACAGTGTCTGCGCGAGGGCAAAAATAGAGATATAATCTCGCGGAACGAAGGTGTACGACATGATAAGAGAAAGACACGTGGGATCGAATGTTGAAAAGTTTCCCGGGCCCGGTCGGGCTCTCTCTCTCTCTCTCTCTCTCCTCTTCCAGCGCCATGATGCAGCAAAAACATTCCGGTAAACATGAGCAGATTAAGCATTCGACGCTGCCCCACACTATCTCGGCGGACTTTGAGCCTTGAGTGGGACAGTGGGTATATCTCGAGTATACTGTGTCTTGAAGGTCTCAAGCTTCCACGCATTCCTACTGCAACAGTTTGAAACGTGACTCAAAGTGATTCGCCACGATGACGGCCGTAACGAAAGGTATTTACCGTACACGTCCACGATTTTCATCCCATGTGATCCCATATGAATCCTCGATCGCAAGATGTATTGTAATTGCATATCAAGCCGATGATCGAGACTATCGTCGATCGAGGAGAGAGAACTCTTTAAAAGTCAATCTGTCCGCCTGACACTCGTTGATACTCTTGAACTTGAAAAGCGACTTCACGATCAAACTCTAATTTATTCGGCGATTAACTTGTGAAAAATAACATCCATATATGTATTTGTACTATTCCGTCAACACGGGTAGAATTATTAATTTCTTATTGTTTCACGTATGGACGAAAAGATTAACTGGAATAAAGACAAATTATGTATGTTTAGTTGGAGAGTTCCTTCAAACGATTCCATCGGTGAATTTTCGTATGAATTATAAACGTCGATTAAATTCTGTTCGAAATCTGTTTTTGCAGATGGCTATCTGGAAAGTTAAACGGTGTCCTCTAGTCAAAATCGTTCTAATGTCCATTTTCTATTGATATAGATTAACTTTCAAAATCTCGGAGTTTATATATAAATATATTTAAGTTAATAATAATAAAATAATAAATTTAAAGTTAATTTATTCCCTGGCTTTTCTAATTTTTAAAATTATAGAAGATAAAAAATAAGTTAAACCAAGATTAAAATGTTAAATCTACATTGATAGAAACGAACATCAATTAAATCTGTCGTTTGTAACTGAATTAGTACACCCTTACTATTGCACTTAAAATAAATATGTAGTTGAAGCTTAGTGAAAGAAACAGTTCAGCGAGATGGATAAGTATATATAATTAATGCAATTCAGTGCAGCAAAAACAAGTCTAAGATAAAATAGATAACACCTCAAAAAGAAAACGGTGTGTTATAATTTGTCTCAAGTAAAAATATATGATTATGATAACGAATTGCAGCCTATGTATGTATGTGTTATGTTTCTCCTCTGAATCAAATAATTTTTACTTAAAAACTAATTAATAGTCTAATGGAATATAAGATCAACAGATCCAGATACAAAAAAATATGACAAGATAAAATAAATTACTAATTTGAGATCATCTTCCACAGGTATTTTCATTGTCGCTGCAAAGCGCACCCCATTTGGCACAATGGGGGGTATGTTCGCCAACAAGAGTGCAACCGATTTGTCAGTTGTCGCATCGACCGCCGCAATGCAGACAGCCGGTCTGAAACCAGAGAAGATTGACAGTGTTGTATTTGGACACGTCATGGCGGTAAATGTTTCCATTTGTAATTAACAATTGCGAGCACTTACGTAGGTCTTATGACGATTTTGCTACCTTTTGCTTCATAGAACTTACTTCTAATTTTTCCAATTTTTGCTTTATAGACCTCGTCCTCCGATGGTGCTTTCTTGGCAAGGCACGCTTTGTTAAAATCAGGAATCCCATTACAAAAACCGGCACTTAGCGTAAATAGATTGTGCGGTTCTGGCTTCCAGGCAATTGTCAGCGGCGCTCAGGTTGGTCAAGGATTCCGCAGTTCTTTAAAAATATGATTTAATTATTGTAAAAAATTAAAGAGTAACTAAAGAATAATATTCCAATACAGATAACAATATTAGCAATATATGCATTTATTTTAAGGAATTTTAAGAGCGATATTATATATAATTCTTTAAAAGTGTAAAACAGATTGCAGCTGTATGTCAAATACTAATAAGCAATAGTGCAGAAATTTAAGTTAGTAGCATCACTATCAACATAAATTTTTTCATTTCAGAACATTCTAGTAGGAGACTCGAAAATTGTCTTGACGGGTGGCGCCGAAAACATGAGCCAAGCTCCTTTTGTTGTGAGAAACATTCGATTTGGCACTGTCCTGGGCCAGAAAATTGAATTTGAGGACTCACTCTGGCTTGGATTACTCGACACCCACTGCAATTTGCCTATGGGCCTGACTGCGGAAAAGCTCGGCGCTCAGTACAAATTGAAGAGGGAGGAGGTCGACCAATTTGCCTTGAGTAGTCAACAACGTTGGAAAGCTGGTAAATATTGCCAATATCCTACTTAATATTTTATCTGTCGGCGCTATTAATTAAATAAATAAAATACGGAATTTGTAGTTTATTAGTCTTCTTTTCTAATTAAATTTGAATTATATAGAATTTAAACATCTATTAAAAAAAAAAAAAAACATTACAGCCAACGACGCGGGTCGTTTTAAAGAAGAAATAGCGCCTGTGCAAGTGAAAATTAAGAAGCAGGACACAACTGTCAGCGTGGACGAGCATCCGCGTGTACAAACGACAATGGAGACCCTTACCAAGCTGAAACCAGTTTTCCAGAAAGATGGATTGGTCACAGCTGGTTCTGCATCGGTATTGCGTTTTCATTCATTTTGCGGACAGAAATTTTATATCAATCCTTATATCGACTATATTCTTCCAAATTTAATTAACTCTCGACTTTACTCACGTTTCTCAGGGTATCTGTGACGGAGCGAGCGTTGTTATTTTGGCTAGCGAGGAAGCCGTCAAGGCGGAAGGCTTGAAACCGTTGGCACGTTTGGTAGGATACAGCGTGGTCGGCGTGGACCCGAGCATTATGGGGATTGGTCCTGCGCCAGCAATCAGGGACTTGCTTAAAGCCACGGGCAAGACACTCAATGACATCGAACTCGTCGAGGTGAGATTTACGCAGAAAAAAAAACCTTGTCTCGTCAAGCAGCATCTTGAAACCAAAGATGTGAAATCAATTAATATGAGAAGTAATTAAAAATATAGTTTAAGAGGTTTTCATATTTACTCCCCGTCATGCACTAACTCGTGTAATTTCCGGTAGATCAACGAAGCGTTTGGCGCTCAGACATTGGCGTGTGCAAGGGAACTTGATCTGGATCTGAATAAACTGAACGTGGATGGTGGCGCTATTGCTGTAGGACACCCACTGGCCGCTTCCGGTAGCAGGATCACTGCTCACTTGGTGCACGAGCTTAGGTAACGTATTTCACAATACGCGTACAAGCGTATTTTGTCTTAATGTTCTTATCTATGTGTGTATCTTCCTGCAGGAGGCGAAAGGCTGGAAAATTCGGTATTGGTTCCGCTTGCATCGGTGGTGGCCAAGGTATCGCTGTGATGGTGGAAGCGCTGTGAGAAGTTCGCGGGCTGCTTTCCTTTTAAGAAGCACAAATCGACACACGTCGCTTTCCATTTATAGTTTTGTTCAAACTCAATCGACACTTTTGGACTTTTCTCGGGAGAAGAATCGGAATGTGTTTCGTCCAATTAAATAATTATTAGAATGGATTCGGAAACTTGATACCAACACTTCGCTTGTATATATACGATATATGGTTTGAGTGTGCACCAGTATCTGTGTCGATTTGTATTTCCTAAAAGCAACCTTAATTGCTTAAAGATATTTTATACAAACAAAATCAGTGCAAAGTGATAAGAGTACGTCGTATGATTTATAAATACTGAAACAATTGTTAATCCTTTTTCCTCATCCTGGTGATACAGGTAAAATCATGAAAAATATTTTTACATACAAAAACTTTATATATACTTTATATATACTTTTTTTGTACACATAACGATCCGTTGTTGAATAAAACTGAAAGATTTATATTTAATTCGCTTTCTTTGGTAGTTTTAAAGAAAAAATATATATAGCTACGAAAACCGATGTCAACGAATTTGTCGTTAAGCAGCCGAACCTTGAAGTACCGTAAAAATCGAATAGGACGTCCGCATTATCTGAAATACACGAGAGCTGTTAGCTTTGTTCGAACGTTCTAGGATTCCGCTTAACTGCCTTAAAATTTGAGGCAGTTTAATTTCCGATTTCAGTATGGATTTAAATAATTATTTTAGACCAATTCGAAGTAAAAATATATACAAATTATTATAGATTTAAATAATTATTTTAGATCAATTCAAAGTAAAAATATATACGAATTATTATAGATTTAAATAATTATTTTAGATCAATTCGAAGTAAAAATATATACGAATTATTATATCAGTATGGATTTAAATAATTATTTTAGATCAATTTGAAGTAAAAATATACGAATTATTATAGATTTAAATAATTATTTTAAATCAATTCAAAGTAAAAATATACGAATTATTATAGACCGCAACTTTTGATTTGCATCGATAATTATAAATAGTGCGTATGATTTATGAAAGCTCAACTATAAGAAAGGCAACATCTAGATGTCTTTATAGTGGATTTGAGTGAATTTAATTTTAACAAAGCGTCTGATAAAAATCCTAAATACCTGCACGAAAGTATCTAAAGACAACATCATGATTTTGCCGGCGCTCAAAGTGAACGGACGGTGAGACCTTGTCATCACGATTTGAAGGCCGCGTTTGAATCCTTCGGTGTTGGAGAACCAGTTGCTCGAGTACGCGGCCGTGGCTAAACGCATGCTCTAAAAATCGGCGTGTGTCTCTCACGCACGTCCGTGTACAAGAATATTTTAATACTCACATGCAGATGCAATTCATTACCGTGCCAGCAGAAGATGAATATCTGATACGTCATGCAGCACATGTACGTCAGCATGCCGATCAGCACCGCCGGGATGTAAACTTTCATCTGCGGTGCAACGCGATCGCGTGAGAACTCACGGGCAAGTCGATCGGAGCAATCGATGGATTTACCTGCGACACCTTGAAGGCGATCAAGCAAATGATCACGCAATTCGAGAGGAATTGGAAGAAGATGACGGTACCAAATATATCCTGGATCTCGTTCGTGAAACTGCAAATCAATGCAGTTAGTTGCAAACGAAGCTAAAACGCAAATCGATAATTAATTTCATCGATCTTTTTATTCTCTCTTATTCTATTTGTGCAAATCTAATTCAAGAGAATTTAAATTCACATGAATTAAACTCTAGTCTTTCTTCTAAGAACATTTTCTTAGAATTCTTTATGTAATTGTTTAGAATTTTTATGTAAATTTCAGAATTTCTGTATAACTTTTTAGAAAATTTCTCAAATTTTTTACATAAATTGAAACATTTCAGAAGTTCTAAGAAAATTTACATCTTTTTTAGAATTTTTCATAAGTAAATTCTGAGACATTCTAAAACTTTTAAAATTTCTCATTTTATAATTTCTATAAAAAAATGTATAAAATTGGAAAATTTGTTTTTTTCAGAAATCTTTAGAAATTTAAAATGTGACAAATTTTCTTAAAAATATTAGAGAATTTTTTCATGAAGGAAATTATATATGAGATATTTTATTTTAAATGTCAGAAAATAATTTCACCTATTTTGCTATTATTTTCTCAATAAACATCAACTAACATCAGAATTATATGATTTCTACTCAATGTAACTGTTACATGTAATATGTGTTACATTACATTTATACTGTTAAATGGAAAAACATAATATTGTGTGACATAATGTTACTTAGTTGATGATTACCAGGGATCTATAATCCTTTAAACATCTCAACTTACTGAAATATCATATTGTTGTGAACCGCACATCGCTTGAGTAACTGATAAGAGGACGACATGGCTCTCCGTTCAGCCGCAAGCGACCCACTCTTATCGTTATCGCTATTTTGCAATTTTCGGATGCCTTCCTCGTTATCGATCGACGTGATGTTGTGCTCTAGGATCGCCAGCTGGGAACAGGCGACCACGATCAGGCCGGTCATCAGCGTGTCCATCGCCACGTTGTGAAAGCAGGCGATTATGATTGCGATGCCCTGATGCGCCGCGGTGATCTCGAAGGCCGGCGTAGCCGTCGTGTTGTAGGGATACCATCCCTCCATGGGCAGCCGGCGCGAGCGGCCGGCGACCAGGTCGGCGATCGGTGTGAAGCCCCAACAGAACACCGCGATCCCGCCGAAGCTCTGATAAACCGCGTGATGGAAGAGGCCCTTCCACGCGTAGCTTATCAGCAGATCCTCGTACTTCTCGTCGTGGCGACTGAACGCCAGGCTGTTGGCCGCGTCCAGGAGCGCCTGGATCCGCGCCTGACGGCGCAGTAGAACGACCACCTGAAAATGTCGATTTTTGTGTTTACCTTCTCCATTTTTCATGATCTTTATACAGATGGATGAAATATTATAACCAAAGAATAAAAAAAATAAAGTGTGCGATGGCCGGGAATCGAACCCGGATCAACTGCTTGGAAGGCAACTATGCTAACCATTACACCACCATCGCACTATGCTAGCCGCTTGCATTTAGTGCTAGATCTTACCCATCCTTACGAACGACGCTGTTGGAATCGCCACCGACAGTGTTTTATTTAAAGCCGATCAAAAGCAAATTTTTTTCGCGACCGTCAAGTGGGCCCGGTGGCTCCGGTGGGCCTGAGGGTAATTAAAGAACGATGACATTACCAACCGCCATTTTGGCTGCACCGAGGATAACAAACGTAATCATCGTTTTACGTGCGCGCAATTAAATCGCTATTTTTATTATCGACATGTGAAAATTTTACATTTTTTAATTTTCACAACATTTGCTGTATACACACACGTATACGTATAGTAAACGTTGTGAAAATTAAAAAATATATGTATCCGTATAGCAAACGTTTCGAAAATTAAAACATTATGTAAACTTTTCACTGTTGATAATAAAATAGTGTAATTTTACATATATATTTATTATCCTCATGCAGTACAGTCAAAAAAGATTGGTAATGTCATCGTCCTTCAATTACCCCCTCGCCGGGCCTATTTGAAAGTTGGCTCACGAAAATTTGCCTTTGACTGCGGCCGTATTTATAAATGTAAATAATACCTTGTCAGCGAAATCGCGAAAAATAATTGGAAATAATTAGAAAAACGCATTCACATTCAAATATTGTACACAATAATAGCATATAAAAGCTTGTCGTAATTTTAATTATTTTAATTAAAGTATAATTATAATATCCCAGCAAACGAAAATGAATTAAAATGAATAGAAATGAATTTATTTCGACATTTCCGAATTGGCGCTTCTGATTTTTCGAATCCTTTTGAATCCAAATATAATTATATATAATACGCGATATGAATTCAAAATTTAACATTGGGAATAGCTCATTTCATATTTCAATTTATTTGAATTAGAAAATAATATATATAATCAGACATGAATACACACACACACACACACACACACACACACAACCGAGTTCAATATGATGAATAGCTCATTTCATATTTTAATTTATTTAAATTAAAAAATAATATAATAGGGTCATAAATGCACTTTCGGAGTCAATTTAGATAAATTAAAATAAACTGAAATGAATTGAATTTTCAATTCATTTAAATTAATTTTTGTTTGCTGGGATGCTGTGAAGTTAGCACATCTTTTTTAAATTTTAAAAACAATAATAAAAAGTTCCAGTAACGTAGTACTTTCTTAGTTCTATCGTTGCTGATAAACATTAGAATTTAAAAATGTTCTGCATTTTTAATACAAAAAAAAAACAATAACGTGAATGAGAAAATTATCAGCAGACACATTTCCGACGAGTGTCGTGCCAGTGATAAAAGTAATTAAAAATGTTTATAAGGCGGAACAATTTTTTTTTGAACGATTCACTCACGTAGAAATTAATCGGAACATCATATATCTCACCTCAAATCATTGGATTGCTGTAAAATGTTAATCACAAGGCGCCAAGATAATTGCAATTACCTTCGAAGCGTGGGTGGAATTTGTCATCAACAAGGTCGCAACCGCAACGAGTTTCGACATATCTCCCCAGTGTGCGAGGACATTCGCTATCTCGGCGGCGAGCAAGATACCCAGGATGAAGGTGAAACTACAGGCGGTGTAAAGCAAATAAGGTAGGCGAAACTTGCCCGCTGGCGGCCACGTGCCCAGGAAGTAGACGATCGTCAGGCTCACCCTCAGGTGAAAATTCGGCGCGATAATTCCTCGTTTCTTCATTTTTCCGTTTGAAAACCGAGCGTCATATATACCTCGATGGTGATCTTTTTACGAAGAAAAAGTCGTTTAACGCACAATTCTTCACTAATCACTTCAGTCCAATTTAATATTAGTTAAACGTTCATTAAGTAATTTATTCAAAATTCGACAGGAATTTCCGTGGATAAAATCTCTTGCATTTAAATAAAAAAATTATGTAATTCACAAATTAATTAGAAGCAAGAGATGCTTATAAATAAAATGCTTGTAATTTGTGTTTTATGAAGAGCGTCGCGTGTTTTACGTTGAAGAGACGCGAGGATCGTGGATTGTGGATTATGGAGCTACACGGCTATCTCGACTTATCGCTTAACAATTCACAGAGGTACAATTAATGTACCATAGCATTGAATATATGCTTCCTTCCATTTGTACGTTTGATAATAACTCAAATTGAGATGCTTTTGCAATACTGGACGGGCTCCTCTAATTCGAGAGAAATTCCGTAGGTTCTCCAAAGCGGAAATTATATAGCATTATGTAAGCGCTTGGCTTGTAATCAATCGAATCGCTCCGCTTTCATCATACGCGCGTGTTATTTGCGAGCCGCGTGGCTTATCAGGCACTACGCTATTAAGTTCAATTACGAAAGCGATTGACGTATAATCTATATAGGAATAATTGATCGTGCCGGACTATCGCCTATTCCCTCTGTACAATTCCACGGAGCGATGACGCAGAGGCAAACACGTGGCATTTTCTCGTGGTAATTCATTGTATAGTGCATACGTTGTGACAGTGAACGTTTGGACGGTAAACGATAAACACAGTGGTAATATACATATATACTCTTATCGATCTTTGTATTAAATACCGGTTTCTGTATCCTTGAAAAACTGAAAAGAACTCTGGCAAGCGTATTCTCGCATAAAACTTGTGATTGTATTTATAACATTTAAAGGCAAGGGAATGAAAACCAAACTATTTATTAATCCACATAGTTATTAGAATAAAGTTATCAGATCAATTTAATATTTGCTTTTAAAAGATTATTTTCTTTGCAAGTAAACGCGAATTTAGCAATGTTTATCGGCGGATTTTTCTCACGCGTAAAACCGGTTTTATCGTTCTATATAGGTCTAGTATGTATGTACATGTAACAAAAATAAGATATAACCCTGATGAACATTTTTCTTTGAATTCTTTATACAATTTTTCAGAATTTCTATAATTTTACTATTTAGAAAAATTTACAGGTTTTTTAGACGAAATTTTTATTATTTTGATTATGAGAATTTTTTCATCGGGGAATGACTTATATAAGATACAATTAAAGCGTGCTGCTATACGATGACGTGATAAGCGCGGAAATATCTGAGTGTTATCTTCTAGATATTTCTTCTACTGATTCAGTTTCAGTCCAGGCTACGTCACAAACGTCGAGTGATAAAAATATTGAAATGGCTGCAGTCTAAGCTCAGTGCAGGCTCAAATGTCGAAGTGACGCGATCTTCGGGGATCTCGCATATATTTGTCACCGGCAGGTAAACTCGAGGCGAGTTGCTTCAGTTACCTGTCACTTCAGCAAGCCAATCTCGCAATTCTCATTATACCGGTTTCTCGGATCGCCAATCTGTCGCACAAGTCTGCTACGTTAAGTCGCGTGCTACTTAAAATTCGTAAGTGCAGCTACGAAAAATGGCATCGCCAGCACCGATGTTGAGCAAGGACGTGCCTGATATTGAAGTAAGTGCGAATTTTCGATACGTGATGTAAGGAAGTGATTTCTGACGATCTCTCTGTGATGTTGGACAATTATTTGCAAATTATTAGAACGCTCATTAGATACTGATTCTTCGAAAGATCCAGACAGCACACGCATGTCCAGAAATAGGTATTAGAACAGTATTGATATAGTCATAGTTGATTTTTATATTTAAAATCGTCTTAAGATGTTATGAGCTAATTACAGAGCCGTATTAGCATTTATTAAGACATAAGTTAAAACCGTCTTGAAATAAAAACTATGAATATCGATTATAAAGACATCTCAGTGATGGTTTTCAAATGTTTTTTAAACATATATACATATTTGGATGTGCATGCGCTGTTTGGGAAGCTTATAACTTGGTTTTATCGCTCAACGCCAACTCGATAGTGTGACGTTGTCACATAAACATCACACAATCGCATATGTACAGTTTATGCAAAATATTTTTATTGAATTATTAGTCATATGGAGGGACTAACTTTTGACTGGGACTTGCCCGATAAAATCACCTTAAAAAAAAGAAACATCTGCTTTTTATAAGAGAAATTTTTTAATTTTGACAAATTTTCTGTAATTGTATCTCTTTAAATTTATTATATATTTGGATTTATAATTTTTAATGTAATGTAGTAAGATATTTTTTTAATATAGTTTTTTATTTTTGCCTAAAATTTTTATATTACGTTTCGCGTAGCAATTTTTTCTTTTTATTTTATCGATTTTTTTATCTGTTTATAAGTAATATTTATGAAGATCTTTAATGAGTCTGTGCAAACTTGGATAAGCTAGCATTAAAGTTTTATAAATATTTTAGGTTTTTTTTAATCTCCAAGATAGAGACGTTTTTCAATACACAGTTGAAAAATTTGTATTTGTATTTATATTTTTTTGAATTTAATACGTTTCACATGTCCTAAATGGTCCACTCAAATTTTTGTATTAATTTAACGCAAAATGAATATGTTAGAAACATTATATAAAAATTAATACAAAAAATGTAATACTCTAATACAATTAGAGAACAAATTGTGGAAATATCATTCTTCAGTAAAATTAACACTTATAACATGTAAAATAAACAAGTATATTTATCTTTTATTCATTTATCTTAGAATTTACGATTTAAAAACTAACTACTTTATTTTTATGTTATTTATTCACTTACTTATAAATTGTATTATTTTGAGAAATATTGAATATCAATTTAACACAAAATATTTAAATAACATAATCACATTATGTTAATGATTTAACAAGCAAATAAAAATTCGACACAAAATTTAAACAAGAACGTGAGTGGACCGTTTTCAACATAAATACAAAACGTTTTTTACTGTGTAGGGACTTTTATTTATCTTCTAACTTTTTCAAAACTGTTATCTTATGTCGACAAGAACTGTGATAACTCGTTTCTACGATAATTTTGCCTCCCTATAAATTGACTAACTTATGTATGTAATTCGCGTTAAAACCCAATTTTACTAGTTAAAACAAGTTTTAAATTTAATTGAAACGAGGTCTATAATTATACTATGCTCACATATAGGTTTTTGACTTTTTGTCTAATCAATATCATTCTAGTTTTAACTAGTAAATTCAGGTTTTAACGGATTATCTGTTTTGACGGTAACATATACGTAAATTATAGAATATATTGAACATCAATCCGAAGTCCAAAGTTCATACAAATTTTGTGCCATCGGCGCACACCAAACAGAATAAGGAGCATTGGAAAAGGAACATCCATGAGAAATGTGACGTAAGTCGTTTAAATCAAATTATTAATAAATTATTAAACTGAATTGTTAATTGTTAAATTATTTAAATCGAATTAATGAAAATTATTCTTAAAAGTTTGCTTCAAATAAAGCAATTCGTATAGACACGTACGCGCGCGCGCGTGTGTGTAGACATTGATATATTAAACTTTTTATACTTCACACTTTTTAGGTATTGCAGCAGCATTTGTGCAGAAATACGATTAATTTCGATTTGTGACATAATATTGATATAAGTAATGTACGATTATATATATATATATATATATATATATACATATATATATATATATATATACATATATATATAGGGTGTTTTCTAAATATAGGGCAAAAATTCAGGGGGTTATTTACTGGGTTATTTTAAGAATTTTTTGTTTTCTGATGATTTTCGAAAAAATGCTTTATTCCATAGATAACAGGCGATACAGGTTTTTAAACAAAATTATTGAAAATAAGACTTAAACCCTCTGGATTATTTTCTATGGGGTCATCTAAAGTTATTAGTTTACACTACTCCAGTAGAAAATGTGGAAGATTTGAGAAATCGTATAACTGATGGATGCAATTCGATAAGAAACGACCCAGGTATTTTTGAAAGAGTTCGGCTGTCAATGAGAAGAAGATTAAATTCCTGCATCCTAGCTGGTGGTAA